AAGCAACGATTAACAAGGCAGTTAGAGATCGAGAATAATATAAAAAAGCTGGAGAAACAATATTATGTAACAAAATCAGCTGAAACATTAAGTGAGCTTAATATTGCCAGGACATCTTTGCGTAATTTGATAATGCGAAAGGCTGAAAGAGACGTCCTTCTTGCCAGACGACTGCTTTTTCAATCAGCTAATAAGCCTAACCGCTTTTTGGCTCGTCTTGCAAGGAATACTCCATCAAGTTCTTTTATCACAGCTATTGTGGATGTGAATGGTGAAAGGCAAGTAGGAAACCGTCAGATTAATGAGTGCTTTAGAGAATTCTATACAAACATATCAGTCTGAGATGGATATAACAAGGCTTAACTCAGGCTTTTTTCTAAACGACTTAGTATTCCCTCAGCTCTCTGAAGATCAGGTTAGCCTGCTGGAGTCACCCATTAGATTGATGGAGGTGGATAAAGCTATATCTGCACTCCAGTCAGGGAATATATAAGAATTTTTTAAGATAGTGAAAGTGAAGTTAAATAGTTTATTATTAAGGGTTTTTAATAAAGCATTTGAAGAATCAAAACTCCCTGAATCTATGTACCAGGCTAATATAACATTGATAGCTAAAAAAGATAAAAACCCGGAGTTATGCTCATCTTTCAGGCCTATTAGCCTTCTTGGTGTTGATAATAAGAAAAAGTGATGTGCTCTATTGTGCATGCTGACCAGACAGGCTTTATTAAGGGGAGGAATTCTTACAATAATACTCAACGTCTATTTAATATTATTCATTTTTAAAATTTTTATCAGATCTCTGGGGTTGTTGTTTCTATGGATGCCGAAAAGGCATTTGATAGAATTGAATGGGAATATCTGATTGAAATAATGAGAAGATTTGGGTTTGGAAAAAACTGTCTGGGGTGGATCAAAATTATATACAAATCACCAACAGCATCAGTGTTAACTAACGGCTTGTTATCTTCCCCAATGACATTGAGCAGAGGTACAGCACAAGGTAGCCCATTGTCACCACTATTATTTGCTTTGGCCATTGAGCCCTTGGCCATGGCCATTAGACAAAATCCAAGTGTTGCTGGAGTTAAAATTGGGAATAGACAACATAAAATCCTGCTCTATGCAGACGATATTCTTCTGACACTGACTGACCCTGCTAACTCTCTACCTGTTCTTACTAGGTGTATCAAGGACTTTGGTCTTATATCTGGATACAAGGTAAATTTTGATAAATCTGTTATAATGACTCTGTGTAGTGGAAAGGACACTGAACCTTTATATGTTAAACCTTTTCATTAGGCACCATCAGGTTTTGTATATTTGGGACTTAAAGTTACACCAAATGTTGGTCACTTATATAGAGAAAATATTAATGGAATGGTTCAAGATCTTCAAGAGATGCTGACAAGATGGAGGTGACTTCCAATATCATTTTTGGGAAGAATAAATCTCATTGAGATGGTAATCCTACCGAAAATACTATATTATACTAGAGGTGGGAATCACCATACATCCCACGATACGATATTATCACAATACTTAACGCACGATACGATATTATTGCAATTTTTTAAAATATTTTGCGATATTCAGATTCTGTACATAAAGGTAAACTTTATCAATATTCATTTATCTAATATCA